TGTCAGTGACACCCAGTCCACCCTTTCATTTTCTAATGCCCAGTGGAGCCCATGATTGATGCTGACATGCTCCAGAGAGGACAACCTCTGGGCTGTAAGTATAAATCAGAGCGTATCACACCTGGAATCAACCTGGCTAGAAGACTGACCCCAGAGGCCACTCTGTGGGTCCAACTCAAACCTGAACAAGATCTCCTGTAAAACGAGGTAAAGAGAAAGGGGCCATACACCCTTGGCCTGAGGCCCTCTCCTAAGAAAGAGGGAACTGGGTGGTTCCCAAGGTAGTGTAAGCCAGCTCCGGTACTTAGGGAAGTTTCCCCTGACATCATGCCTCAGTTTGCCTTAATTTCCCCTCGTTGTTCCCAGTTCTCTGCCCTCTGGGATCATGGGGTTATAGAGTTTAGAGTCATCTAATTCAACCCCCTCATTTTACTGGTGAGGAAAGGGAAGCCCACAGAGATGGAGGGACTCGCCCTCTGTTACATAGATTGGAAATGGCACACATGAAGCCAGGTCTTCTGAACAGCTCTTCTTGATGGGGTGCTTGGGTGCTTGTGCTTGTACCTGGACCCCAATTTCTCCCTAGTCTCAGAAACACTGTCTCTGACAACCACTCCCCAGCCCAAGGACACTGTGCCTAGCAATTACTCATGCAGGGGCCCCAGCCTGACCCTTATCTCTCTCCCTGGTCCAGTTACACAAAGCTAGGTGAGAAAGTGCTGGACTGCTCAGGCCTCAGCCCTCAGCCCTCAGATCATGTCTCTGAAAGCCTCCCAATTCTTTAGTAAGTTCTTGTCTTGTGAGAAAGCTTTCCCTTGTTGCAGAGCATTCTCTCAACAAGACAAAGAAAGAGGGGTGCCTTGCCCACCCCAAGGAGTTTTGTCCTTGGCCAGCCCAAGGACTCTTCCTCCTGCCAGACTCCCAAGATCCATACCTCTGTCATCTCCCTCCTTGTCCAGTATACTCCCTGTACTTTCTCATCCACAGCTCCCAAAGACACCTGTACCTTTAGATTACCTCATCAGTGTCCCTGGCATTCCTTTCCCATTCCCTTTTCCATATAAACCTTAGCTCCATCCTCAGTCTCTTGCAGGTTCCTCAAGAATCCTTGCCTGCTGAAAAGTGTAACAATAAACTTTTTGCAACTTGACTTAAAGATTGCTTGAGTTTGTGAATTCATTCCAGATGGCCCTGTCTTGTACTTCGATCTTTGAGGGGTCTCACCCTCTCAGACCTCAACATTCTGAACAGCTCTTTGCACTCTGCCATAGACCCAAGCAGAACGTCTCCAGTAGCTTCATACATTTCAAAGATTTCCACATGTTACCTCTCTGATCCTCTCAACAACCCTGTAGTAGCTACTCCAGATTTCCTTCATTACCTTAATTTTACAGATGAGGAAACTGAGGCTCCAAACAGTCTTCCCGTGCAGGCTGCTAAAGGAGTAATTGGAGATGTAATAGAAGGATCTGGCATTGGGGTGGCTCAGCAGATAGAGCACTGGACTTAGAGTCAGGAAGACCTGAAGTCAAATCCACCCTCAAAACTTACTGGCTGTGGCATGCCACTAAACCTGTCTGCCTCAGTTTTCTCATAAGCAAAATGGGGAAAATAATAGCACCTCCCTTCCAGGGTTGGTGTGAGGATTAAATGAGATAATTTGCAAAGCATTCTGAAAACCTTAAAGTGCTACATAAATGCTAATTATGATTGTTAATTATTATTAGATCCAGACTGTGCTCTGCAGGACTTAAGGCTTTCAGCTCCGGAACTCTGTCCCCCTGAGCCCATGCTTCTCTGGTTAGTGAATGTCTTCCTTGTCCAACTGGGGCTAGGACGGCTCTGGCCATGCCCCTAATCAGTCCTTCCACGTGGGGCTTGTACTCCTCTCCAGCTGAAAAAAATGCATCAGCTTCCTTTATGGATAGATGGTAGGTAGAGTATTTGTTAAAAGCTTGTTGTGTGCTAGGCTCCTGAATGAAGGAATAAACTAATGAGTGAATGAAAAAAAGCATTTATTAAGTGCTTACTATGTGCAAAGCACTAAGTGTTGGGGATACAAAAAAAAAAAAAAGCCAGACAAGGAGCTCTCATTTTGATGGGAGAGACGACCATATGTAAGGTTTCAGCTTCACATCAGATGGAAAGGTTCCATTAGACCAGGCATGCAGCAGCAAAACAGATAGTGATGCCTTTTCTTTAATGTTATGTCCACTGATAAAACCAAGTCAGTTATGGTTCTACTCACCATTCGTGTGTCTTTCCAAATCCCAACGCCAAACCCTGACATAACTCCATTTTTGTATTATCTCCCCATTAGAATGTAAGCTTTGCCTTGGAGTCAGGAGGACCTGAGTTCAAATCCAGCCTCAGACACATAACACTCACTAGCTGTGTGACTCTGGGCAAGTCACTTAACCCCAACTGCCTCACCAAAAAAAGAAAAAAAAAAAAGAATGTAAGCTTCTTGAGGGCAGGGACTACGTCAATCCCCAGTACTTAGCATATTGCTTGGCACACAGTAAGCCTTTAATAATCTTTTTTTCTTTCATTCATTCTAAAGTTGGAAAAGGCCCTAAAGATTTTATCTGATCCAACCGTCTTCCTCTAAAGATGAGCCTGCATGGATTGATCACATTCCCTGACTCATCTAGTCCAAGTCTTACCCCCAAAGGATCCCCCCCACCACATATCAGAGAATCCCTGTGTTCAATATGGGTTGGACTCCATGGCCTGTGAGAGCCCTTATAATTCGGAGATTCTGGGCAGCTACTCCACCTATCCAGTCTTTTTGTTTATAAAACCAGGCCTTTAGTCTAGACCAGGGGTTCTTTTTTAAATTTATTTTGATTTATTAACAATCACTTCCATAAGCTTTTTTTATTAATTTATTTTGATTTATCAACAATCACTTCCATATGCTTTGGAGTTTAAAATATTTTTCCCCCTTCCTCCCCACCACCCTCCTCAAGACAGGGCACAATCTGATATAGGTTATACATATACATTCCTATTAAACATATTTTCACATTAGTGATGTTGTAAGTAAGAATTAGAACCAATAGGAGGAACCACCAGAAGGAGGAAACAAAACTCAACAGAAGAAAAAACAATAGCAAATAGTATGCTTCGATCTGCATTCAAATTCCATAGTTCTTTCTTTGGATGTGGATAGCATTTTCCATCATGAGGCCTTTGGAGATGTCTTAGATCCTTCTATTGCTGGGAAGGGTTAATTCTATCATAGTTAGTCATTGCACAACATGGCTGTTAGTGTGTACAACTTTCTCTTGGTTCTGGTCACTTCACTCAGCATCAGACCATACAAGTCTTTCCAGGTTTTTCTGAAGTCAGCCTGTTCATCATTTCTTATAGCACAATAGTATTTCATTACATTCATATACCACAACTTGCTCAGCCATTCCCCAACTGATAGGCATCCTTTCAATTTCCAATTCTTTGCTACCACAAAAAGAGCTGCTATGAATATTTTTGTACATGTGGGTTCTTTTCTCATTTGTATGATCTCTTTGGGATATAGCCCTAGAAGTGCTATTGCTGGGTCAAAGGGTATTCCATATGCTTTTGAGTTTTAAATTTTTCTCCTCCTCCCTTCCTACCTCCCTCCCCAAGACAGGCTAGCAATCTGATATAGGCTCTACAAATACATTCCTATTAAACATATTTTCACATTAGTGATGTTGTAAGAATTAGAACCAATAGGAGGAACCACCGAAAGAGGAAACAAAACACAACAGAAGAAAAAAAATAGCAAATAGTATGCTTTGATCTGCATTCAAACTCCATAGTTCTTTCTTTGGATGTGGATAGTATTTTCCATCATGTGGCCTTTGGAGATTAGACCAGGGGTTCTTACCCTGGAGCCCACCAACTATCAAGGGACCTAATGACAGGGGTGTCTGTGAACTTGGGTGGGAAAAATGCATCTTTATTTTCATTAACCTCTAAACAGAATTTAGCGTTTCCTTCAAATAAACACAAAAACATGATTCTGAGAAGGGCCTCATGGGCTTCACCAGGACCAAGGGGTCCAGGACACACAAGAAAACTAAAGATCTCTCTTCTTGGTGAACTCTGGACATCTCTCATTTTGTTTTGCCTTTCTTTGTATGGCCAGACTTAGTACATGGTAAAGCTTTAAAGTTTTTTTCACTCACTGATTTCAGGTCCTCAGATGCTGAGAGGTACCTGTAGGACTGGCTTCCCATCAGAGAAGAGACTAGAATTCCTGGTCCAGGAGCACTGCAGGGAGAGCTGGTGACTAGATCCAGAGATGGCAAGAATCTTAGGGGCCATCTAGCCCAACCTTCCTGTTTGACAGATAAGAAAACTGAGGCCCAGAAACATCCATTGACTTGCTCAGTCACACAGCTAGTGAAAAACAGAACAACGTCTTCATTTTCCAAATACGGCACATTTTTCCACTGCACCTGGTGTCCTCTGGTGACCCCAGATGGTGAAAATAACCGCTTCTCCCCCGCAGAAACCCAAATCTCCACGCATATTTGAAAATAATAATTCTTCGGCTGATCTGGCCGAGTTTGGGAAGGAAAAAGTTAGGCGTCCTCCTCCACCCCCTCACCATGGGAACCCCGGGGCCGCGTCCTGGTTACTAGGCGAGGAATAGCTCCTCCCCGTCCCCGCCACCCCTACCCCTTACAGAGGACCGCCGGACTGGCAGGGGCGTCCTCAGCCGGGGTTTCATTTCCCTTAGGCTTCCAAACACCCGCATCCTCCAGCCTTCCTTTCCAGCTGGGGAGGTGGGGCTGTCTCAGAATCCCCTCCTCCATCTGCGTGGAACCATTCGTCGGTATCACATCTCTCTAACCCCGGGACTCAGCCGGCCCGCCTTCCACTCCTGGTCAGTTGCCCGTTTAGTCAATTTAACTTTACTCCTCTCCCCCTAAGGTCCCACCCCTCCGGCCTGCCCTGATTGGTCACTCTTCAGACATCCCACTCCCCGCCCCCCCCAACTCGTGCTGTGTTGCAAGATTCTAAAGTCGGAGGAAGGAAGTTGTGTGTAATTGACTAGGAGGAAGGGGCTGTCACAAGTAGAGTCTGTCTCCGGGAAGCCCAGGTCCGTACGTAGGCCTGGGGAGCTCGGCGCACCGACAACTGGACAGCCATGGAAAAAAAGCCTTCTCCAGGGAAAGAGGAAGGAGAAGGAGGAGAGGAAGAGGAAGAAGAAGAGGAAGAGAGCGGTCCCGAAGGAGCCCTGGGGAAGAGCCCGTTCCAGCTGACAGCTGAGGATGTCTATGATATCTCCTACGTGGTGGGAAGGGACCTGATGGCCATCACAGGGGACTCCAGGGACGTGGCCACCAGGGTCACCCAGCTCCAGTTTAAAATCGTGCGGATCCTGGAGATGCTGGAGGCCCTGGTGAATGACTGCAATGTGACAGTGGAGGAGCTCAGGATGGAGAGGGACAGCCTTAGAAAAGAGGTGGAGGGGCTCAGGAGCGAGGGGCAGCCCCCAAACACGGAGGAGGTAGGTACATCCCACTGGATTCTCTTATTTATTGTTTGTTTATTTTGGGGAGGCAATCGGGGTTAAAGTGACTTGCCCAGGATCACACAGCTAGTAAGTGTCCGAGGCTGGATCTGAGCTCAGGTCTTCTTGACTCCAGGGCTGCTGCTCTATCCACTGTGCCACCTAGCTGCCCCTATATTATTGGCTTCAGCATGTACTGTGTTTGAGGCACAAGTAGGGCGACTGGCATGGTGATGGGAGACCAGATCAGACGATCTGTTAAAGAAGCTGAGCTGCTCAGCCTGGAGAAAACTTAGGATGGGCGAGTGGGCATAGGGCAGTCTATTAGCATCCGCTTTCCAGAAGCAACCCTAGTATTGATGTATCTACTGTTCATAGAGGGTAATGTACAGCAAGGATCGTGCTTCTTCTGAGACTTCTCAAGACACCCCCCCCCCCCAACACACACACACATTCCTTTCACTCCTCTTTGCTCAGCAGGGAGCATCTCCAGGACCCTGACCACGTTCAGTAGCCCCTACCTAAAATACAGTGTCCAGAACTGAGCTCAGCAACCCAGAGGTATTCTGATTGTATGTATGATCGTAGGTCTCATCAAGCCCTAGCCGGCTTCTGTCAAGAGACACCAAGGACTTTGAAGGGTATGCACATCTAAGCAGACTTCTAACTAGTCATTTTTATGTTCAGGGAGGGCAGGCCCAGACTTTCCTCCAACACTGCTAGGAAGGCCACGGAAGGGCTGGTAGGTAGGGAGCAAGTTCATGTAAGCTTTGGTGATTATTCTTTTATTAAAAAGTTTTATTAGGTCAAGGACTGTCTAACTTTTGTGTATGTATCCTCAATACCATGCATAGTGCCTGGCATATAGTGAACACTTAATAAATGCTTTTCCATTCATCCATTCATTGCTAATTAGGTGCTAAGCTCAGTTGTTTCCATGAGCTGAAGAACCTGCTATTAGCAGCCTCTTAATTTCAGAGCCCTGAGAGAAAGCCCTGATTGCCCCACCCTAGTTAAGTCTCTGTGGGGGAAGTCCTGAGATTGGGCAGTTTTTCTGGGTAGAGCTGTGTTAGCTATGTATCCAGCACAGTGATGGGACCTTAAATATCTACTTTCCCAGTTTCCTGTGTGGGCCAAGCTGAGCACCCCAATGATGCAGCAGATGAGATACATGTTCTATAATGTGCATCTGAGGCTGCCTGTCAGGCATCGGCAGGAAATTAGGGTCAGAGTGAGCAGCTCTGTTTATCTGAGCTTTCTGGTCAGCTCATTAAAGAGGCCCTCGGTCATCTTTGCCTAGAAGAGTCTTGAGGTGAAGCCTCTAGAGCCTGCATGGGCAGGCTTGTAATTCCTGAATGTACCTGAGCTAGACAGGTTAACCCAACGCCAGGCTGCTGGGCAGATTCCCAGAGCTCAGAGCTTGGCTCTTTAGTCCCCTGCCTCTCAAAGTTGAAAGACATTAGACTTATTTCTCAGACCCAAGGGGAAATGCTTTTCTTGGGGTTAGGGAAAAGGGTGTCAGGCTCTGCACTACGTCAGGATTTAGGGTCACAGACCCTCTTAGCTTCGGCAGATTTGTAAAACATACTACTAATTACATTTTTTACATGACACCTTGTTAAGGTACTGACTTGGAGAGGGTCCAAATCCCTCAGAGTTGGAAGGGACCTCAACAACCACCCATACCTGTTCCAGAATCCTCACTCAAACACACCTGACCAATGGTCATCTGCTTGAAGTCCCTTAAGGAAGGGGGACCCACTTCCTCCCCAACAGACAGCCTATTCCATTTTAGGGGAGCTCCAGTTCTTAGAAAGATTTTTCCTAGCATCAAACCTAAATTCACTATAGCACCTCTTTCTGCCCTCTGGAGCCAAGCAGAACACATCTAATCCATTTTACACAGGACAGACTTTCAGATACTTGAAGACAGCTATCCTGTCCCCCAGAATAACTCCAAATCTCCCCCATTAGAATATGAGCTCTTAGGATGCTTTCAGAAAAACCTGGAAAGACTTCCATGAGCTGATGCAAAGTGAAATGTACTGTGTTCAAAGTAACAGCAATATTGTAAGATGATCAACTGTGAATGACTTAGCTGTTCTCTATAATACAAAGATCCAAGACACCTCTGAAGAACTTAGGATGAAAAATGCTATCCACTCCCGGACAAAGAACTGATGGTGTCTGAATACAGATTGAAGCATGCTTTTTTTAAACTTTATTTTTATTGAGTTCTTTTGGTCTATGTTTTCTTTCACAACATGACTATAATGGAAATGTTTTGCATGACTGCATGTGTATAACCTATATCCAATTGCTCAATGGGGGTGGGTGGGGAGGGAGGAAGGGAGAGAATTTGGAACTCAAAGTTTTAAAAACGAATGTTAAAAATTGTTTTTACATGTAACTGGGGAAAAATAAAATACTAAATGAAAAAAAAGAATGTGAGCTCTTTGAAAATGGGGGCTGTCCAACTTTTCTATTTGTATCCCCAATAATTAGCACAGTGCTTTGCATACAGTAAGTGCTTAAGAAATTCTTCAATCATTCATTCCAAGTTAAACATGTTCAGTCTCTTCAACTGATCAATTTATGAGGATTTATTAAGTGTTTACTATGTTCTCTGCACCATGCTAGGTATTGTGAGTACTACATTGGTTCTTTCTCTGGATGTGGACAGCATTTTCCATCATGAGTCCTTTGGAATTGTCTTGGATGATTGTATTGCTGAGAGGAGCTAAGTCATTCATAGTTAATCATCACTCAATGTTGAAGTTATTGTGTACAATGTTCTCCTGGTTCTGCTTATTTCATTTAGCATGAGTTCCTATAAGTCCAGGTTTTTCTGAAATCTACCTGTTCATTTCTCTCTTTCTCTTTTTAACATTTTAATTTATTATTTATTTTTTAACATTCTTTTCTTTTTAAATTTTTAGTTCCAAATTATCTTCCTCCCTCCCAGATCCTCCCATAACTGCTAAGGAGACAAGCAAAAATGATATCTCATTATTTATTTTTTTATTTTAATTTTATTTTATTTTTAGACAATTGGGATTAAGTGACTTGCCCAGGGTCACACAGCTAGTAAGTGTGAAGTGTTTGGTCTGAGCTTGGATTTGAACTCAGGTCCTCCTGACTTCAGGGCCAGTGCCCTATCCACTGCCCCATCTAGCTGCCCCCTTTATTATTTCTTATAACACAATAGTATTCCATTACATTTACATACCACAGCTTATTCAGCTATTCCCCAATTGATGGGCATCTCCTCAATTTCCAATTCTTTGCCAGCACAAAAAGAGCGGCTATAAAGATTTTTGTGTATGTGGGGTAATAAGGCAGATTTTAATTGATCTTCTTATGGTGTAGACTTGAGGCCTTCACCATTCTGGTGGTCATCTTGTAGGTGGGTCTCCAGTGTCCTTGACTTTTGGAGCAGTGGGCAGAGAGATGGGCCTGGAGTCAGGAAGACACAAATTCAAATCCAGCCTCATACATTTACTAGCTGTGTGACCCTGGGCAAGTCACTTAACTCTGTTTGCCTCAGTTTTCTCAATTGTAAAATAAGGGATAAAAATATCAGTGACTTCACAGGGTTGTTGGGAGGAGCAAACGAGATAACTGTAAAGCACTTAGCACAAGTTCCTGGCATGCAGTAGGTGCTTAATAAATGCTCATTCCTGGGACAGCTAGGTGGTAAAGTGGATAGAGCTCTGGCCTTGGAGTCAGGAGGACCTGAGTTCAAATTCGGCCTCAGACACTTGACACTTACTAGCTGTGTGACCCTGGGCAAGTCACTTAACCCCAATTGCTCACCAAAAAAAAAGCAATAAATGAATGAATGAATGTTCCTTTCCCTTCATTCCTAACTCTAGTAAACTTAGGGTCTTGCCTAAGGTCCCATAAGTCAGGATTTGACTCAAGTCTGCTGAAGCCAAGTTCAGCTGTCTTGGCGCTATTCCATACTGCCTTCTTGCTTCCCTTGGAAGGGGAAGTTACATCTAAAAGAAAACATAATCGTTTAATCATAGCTAACATTTTCATAGCTCCTTAAGATTTCCAAAGTGTTTTACATGCTTGATCAGATTTGATCTTCCCAATAGCCTTGCTATGTAGCTTAGGATATTCTATCTTAATTTTTATTGATATTTCTGTTTTGATATCATTTACCTCTCCCAAGATCACCCTCTGCTAATAATGTGCTGGTAAATGTTTTACAATCAGCTTTTGTGGGAAAAAATGTATGCAGGACACACATTTAAATTTAATCTGTGGGGCAGCTAGGTGGCACGGTGGATAGAGCACCACCCTGGAAGTCAGGAGGACCTGAGTTCAAATCCAACTTCAGACACATCTTAGCTGTGTGACCTTGGCCCAGTCACTTAGCCCTGATTGCCTCCAAAAAGAAAAAAATTTAATCTCCTTTATTAACATTTTCTCCATCACCTTCTAATTCCAGATAATCCACAAAAACAATAAATCAAGCCCTGGTTTATAGCGTTTGCCATTTCTGAGGTATAAATGCTTACACTGAAAATTTAACAATCAGCATACCCTTTCCCTCCCAAAGAACCATCCCTTATAAAGTATCAAAAAGGGGGAAATTTTTCAGCAAAACTAATATATCAAAAATTTGTGACATTATGTTCTATGTTCTATATTCTTTGTCCTTCCACCTCAACAAAGAAGTAGGGAGGGGAGCCTTCTCAAGGCTCTTCTTTGGAGCCAAGCTTGTTCGTTGTAATTTTCCAGCATTCTGTGTCAATATTATCCCCATTTTATAGATGAGTAAACTGAGACTCCTAGATGTAAAATAACTTACCTGTCCAGAATGCATAGATAATATGTCTCATGACTCCAAGTCTAACAGTCTAGTCACTGTACTTTACTGCCTCTTTAGACCTTTCCTAGTTCTTAGAGAACATTTGTCCTGGGAGTTCATTGGACTTGTGGATTATTCAGGCTTTACTGACATGGACAAACATTTTTAGAATTAAGTTTTTTTGACAGATGAAGAAACTGAGGCAAACAAGGTGAAGTGGCTTGCCCAGGGTCTCACAACTAGTAAGCATCTGAGGCAAGATTTGAATTCAGGAAGATGACTTTTCCTGACTCCAGGCCCTGCACTCTGTGCACTATGGCGCCTCTTAGCAGTCCAGCAATTGTTATTAATCCCATTAGAATGTCATCTCCCTGAAGGCAGGAATTGTTTCGTTTCTGTGTTTATGTCCCCAGGGCCTAGCATCTTGGTGACTAATAAACGAGCTTACTAAATGCTTGTAGATTGGTCGATTCTACTCTATCAAATGCCGAGAATGTTTTGTTCTGGTATCAAAGCACAGCTAAAATAATGCTTTGAAGAGCTTTTGACTCTTCATTTCTATAAAGTTTGCAGATGTAGGGCTCCTAGGATCCCTCAAACCACAGAAAGAATGAAGATGTATTTCAGGCTTTCAAAAAAACGGGGTTCCTCCCTGCCTTCCCCTTCCTCCCCCTCTTCCCTTCTCCTTGCCCTCTCCCTCCTCCCCTTCGCCCCCCTTCTCCAGTAAGAGAAAGCCAGACCACCTGTTTCTTGTTTCACAGGTGAACCCAGGAACCAACAAAATTGTAGTGGATCTGACAGACCCCAACCGCCCCCGATTTACGATGCAGGAACTCCGGGACGTGCTGCATGAGAGGAACAAGCTAAAATCCCAGCTGCTGGTGGCTCAGGAAGAGCTCCAGTGCTACAAGAGGTAGGGGCAGCCCAGGGTGGGTGAGGTCAGGAGCCAAGGCTCAGCCTGTATCCAGGAATCCTTCCTCCTCCTGGAGTAGGAACTTCTCCCATACCCTTACACAGAGCTGGAACTAGGGTACTATAACTGGGGCTAAGCCTAAATTTAGAGGGGGTACTGATGGCAGCTTGAGTCTTTCAGCAGTATAGAAATAACTATAGCACCTAGTTAGCAAAAATTATTAGTTAAAATAGGAAACCGTGAGGTGCTAGCTCTGCCCCTGTCCCCTCCGTGCTCATCTCTAGCAGCTGTCTCTAAAGTGAGGGCCTCCCTGATTCTGCTCTTCTCTGACTCCACCCCAGAATGAATTGCAGGCACATTTAGTGCCACTAACCACAGACACAAGTATGTCTTAAAATATTTGAAGGGCTGTCATGTGGAAGGAAGAGGGATTCGATTTGATCTGCTCAGCTCCAGAACTCGTAACAAGCAGTTATTATAAGCATTTATTGAACCCTTACTGTGTGCCAGTCACTGTGCTAAGCATTGGAGATATAAATACAAGCAAAAAGGACGGTCCCTGCCCTCAAGGAGCTTACATTCTAGTAGAGGAAAACACCACACAAAAGGGGAGCTGAAAAGCTGGGGAGAAAAGGGGGAGAAGAAGGTCCCCATGGGAAAATATGGTATTGAAGTCCAGAAAGTCAGATGCCCGACTGGGAAGGGAGGCATGGGTGGCCAACCTGGGCCCTTCCCTAGGAAACAGTGAGTGGAAGTAAAGGAGAGGCAGATTCAGTGTCCGTGTCAGGAAAAACTTCCTAATGAAGTCAGGAAGGAGAACGTATGGCCTGGAGAGGTAATGAGTTTCCTGTTACTTGTTAGGGATGGAATGGAGGGGTTCCCTGTTTACGTACAGTATCCCTTCCATATTGAGACTTTCCCCATCGCTTTTTTCAGCGTATCACGGGTCAGCATAAGAAATTAAAAGGGAATTTTGGGGGGAGTTTTGTGGAAGCCAAAAATGGCATAAAGCCTATGGCCAAATACTTAACCCAAATTTGACAATAAGGTTCTGTAAACACCCCATAAAAGAAAAAGAAAAAAAATCAGACTTCTTCTCTTTTAAGAAGGGAGGGCCAAAAAATTTACACGGATTGTCCAAATCATGGTGGCACCATGCCCCCCAGCCTCCATGATGTGGAAGGGATAACTGTAATTTGGGCCAGATGACCGCTGAGGTGCCTTCCAACTCTCAGGTTCTGTGATTTCTTAAGGAACATTGAGGTAACAAGACCACAGTTCACAAATCTGGGGTTCATGTCATCAGAGAGAGAAGCCCGATTATTATTACAAGTCATGACAGAGAGAGGGCAGTTGATTGACAGCTGTTTTCCTCCGCCAGCTGAGCGAACCCTGAATACAAACACTCTCCTTTCAATAAATCTCATGTTGGAAACCAGAAAAATGGAGGGCAGTCAACTGAAGGGTCTTAGAGGTAGGGTGGGCGAGCAGAGCAAGGTGACTGTTTTAGGCAGGATGGGCATAGCGGGGAACTGTGTGGGCAGGACTGCCCATTTTCCACTAAATTAGCGGCTCATTTAAAGTCCCTGTGCATGGAGAGGAAAGATGCTGTACCCCTTCCCCTTTGCTTCCATAGCACCTAAAGGGTAGAGTGGGAGGGAAGGTGCATTTGTAGTCAGAGGGCATTGACTTGAATCCAAACTCTGCAGGAATTGGCTGTGTGACTTTGGACTAGTCAGTAACCTTTCTGCGTTTTCCTTATCTGTAAATGAAGGGGATCAGACTAGATGATCTTTAAAGTGCCTTCCAGCTTTACGTCTGTGACCGATGAGTCAATCAATTGTTTGTTCCGTCACTTTTCAGTTGTGTCCGACTCCAGTCGTGACCCCATTTGGGGTTGTCTTGGCAAAGATACTGGAGTAGTTTGCTACTTCCTTCTCCGGCTCATTTTGCAGATGAAGAAACTGAGGCAAACAAGGTTAAGTGACTTGCCCAGGGTCACCAGCTAGTAAGTGTCTGAGTGTGGATTTGAACTTAGGGAAGATGAGTTTTCTCGACTCTGTGCACTTTGGTGCCACCTAGCTTCATTGATTAAGGTACCGTGCTAAGTGCTGGGGATACAAAGAAAGCCAAAAACCAGTCCCTGCCCTCAAGGAAATACATTCTAACCGGGATGAAGATGCAGTACCTGGTAGCTAAAGACAATCTGAAATAATAATATCTAAAATTTCGTTGCTGCTTTAAGGTTTTTGATCCTTACAAGCACCCTGGGAGGTGGCTGGTAGTATCATCCCCATTTTAGAGATGGGGAGACCAAGGCTGGAGACACTTAGGTGTCTGAGCAGGGTCACACAGTTAATAGGTGTTTGAGGCAGGATTCAAACTCAGGCCTCCCTGACTCCCAGGCTCCCCCATCCCCTCTGTCCACCACACCACCGCCTCGCTGCTTACACAGGCCAAGGCATTAGCAGCTGGAAAGACTGGGAACGCTGGCAAGCTGGGGCCTTGAAGGACGTCAGGGCGCATGAAGGTAGAGCTGAGGAGGAAGAGTGTTCTAGTCCAAGGGGACAGCTGGTGGAGTGTTGTGCTTTAGGAACCACAAGGAAGTCTGTTTGACTAGAGACTGGGAGAGGAGTTAGAGGGGTCTGAGCTAAGGCAGTGACTGGGTGAGGGGAAAGGCATTGCAAAGGCAGAAATGATAAGGTTTGGCTACGGATTCGGACATGTAAAGTGAGAGAGAATGAGGAATTAAGGATAACATTAATATTTTAGGCTTGTGGGAGAGCTGGATGGCACAGTGGATAGAGCACTGGCCCTGGAGTCAGGAGGACCTGAGTTCAAATGTGGCCTCGGACACTAGCTGTGTGAACCTGGGCAAGTCACTTAACCCGATTACCTCAAAAAAAACAAACCTGATTTCATGCCTGGGTGACTCGTAGGATGGTGGTACCCTTAACAGTAATGGAAGAGTTTAGAAGGATGGGGGGGTAAGGGCTGGGAAGGGGTTAGTTTTTGGGGAAAGATAATGAGTTCTATTTTGGATATGTTGATAAGTAACGTGGAAATATGTTTACAGGATTGCACATGTATAACCTATATCAGATTGCTTGTTGTCTTAGGCAGTGGGTAGAGGAGGAAGAGAGGGAGAAAAATTTGGAACTCAAAATCTTTTAAAAATGAATATTAAAAACTATCTTTATGTGTAATTGGAAAAATAAAATACTATTTACATAACAAAACCCCTGGATTAACCAATTTTGGATGTGTTGAGATGTCCAAGAAGAGTTGAGGGGGGGAGTGACTGTAATCCAGCAGAGAGACCAGGGCTAGAGCTCGAGCTCTGGGAGTCATCTGAGTAGAGATGATAATGGAACCCATGAGAGTTGATAAGATCACCAAAGGAGGAAGCTTAAAGGGGGAAGAGCCCACAGAGCCTCAGGGAACACCCAACATCAGACCTAGACAAATCCAGTAGAAGTGTAAGAAAGAGCCACCCAAAGGAACAGGATGGGTCAGGCAGGTACAAGAACGTCACATAAACCAAGAGAGGAGAGAGTATCCAGATGGAAATGGTGGTCAGCGATGCCAAAGCTGTGGAGAGGTCATGGATGATTGAGGATGGAGGAAGGGCCGCTGGATTTGGCCATTACCAGGTCATTGGTAACTGGAGAGCGAAGTTTCAGTTGAATGGGTGAGACCATGAGCCAGATGGCAGAGCAGAAGCTTTAGCGGGCAGAGCAAGGGACAGGAGAAGAGGCAGAAGCAGTGACTATAGCTGGCTTTCTCAAGGAGTTTAGTTATGAAGGGGAGGAGAGATCTAGGAAAATAGCCATTGGGAATGGTCAAGTCAAGTGAAGAGCGTTTTAAGGATGGGGGAAACATGGGTATGTTTGTAGGTAGCAGGGAAGGAGCCAGTAGATGGGGAGAGGCTGAAGATAAGTGAGAGGGTGGGGATGATAGAGGGGCATTCTGTCGCAGAGGTTGTAAGGGGATGAGATCACTTGTGCATATACAGGGGTTTGCCTTGGTAAGGAGATGGGGCGCATCTTCACATGAGACAGGGTGAGGGAGGAGATAGTGGAGCAGGCATCTGAGGGATTTGAGATAAGGAAGGGGCCTCAATTGAAACCCTTGACTGACAAGGTGGGGGGAAGAGGTGCAAGGTGGGGGCAGTGGAGAAATCGACACAAAGTACTCTTGAAAAATTCGAGAAGAGAGTAGTTTCATCTGGGTCATTGAAGGCTTCAGACCTTCTTCACCTGAGCTGAGCTTTGAAGGGATGAAAAAGATACTAAAAGATGGAGATGAGGAAGGAACGGACAGACATGCAGAGGTAGGAGATGACATGTCAAGTTTGAAGATCAATTAGTTATTTAAGTTTGTTGTGTTTGGTGGGAATGGGGCTGTGTCTTCACAGACAGAGCAGGGCCAGGCCGAGTCAGTTAGCCGTATGATTCAGGCCCCAAATTCTTAGGGTTTTGGAGACAGAACCCTTGAGGCATGAGAGAGGGACGTTAACTTCCTTGTAGCTGTGAGAGAGTGATAAGGCAGGTGGCCAGGCCAGGCCTAAGAGGGCTGTCGGGAGCCTGGGCAAAGCTGAGGAGAGGGTGGAGAGTGTGGAAGGGGAGGAGAAAGAGACAGGAGGAATGTTTTCCTCTGCACCACCCACATTTTTAAGCTGGGTTTGGTTTGTTGAAGTGAGCATTCTTCGCAGAAAAGCGTCCTTAGTTCATGACTAGAGGTGGGGCTGGACAGTGGGCTTCGAACTGCCTTTGAAGTTGGGTTACTGAGTAATAACTGTTGAGCATGTATGTGGGTGTGTGGGCATATGTGCAAAGGCTACAAAGGACACATGGCTTACTGCCTTCACAAATCTATACTCGGTTCAACAAGCATTTTTTATTAATAACAAAAAGGTATGCAGAAGTGCTTTTGATCCTCGCAACAACTCTGTGAGATAGGTGTTATTATTATCCCCACTGTACAGATGAGGAAACTGAGGCAGGATAAATGGCATGCCCAGAGTCACAGCTCTAGTAAGTATCTGAGGCAGGATTTGAACTCGGGTCTTTCCAACTCTAGGTATAACACTGTCACCCAGCTGCCTCATTAGAGTTGAGAGACCAAATGAAAAGTCACCCATTTCTTTTCTCCCCTTCATCTAGCGGGCTCATCCCACTGAATAACAGTCAGTTGGCAAGAAGAGATCCACAAGCTCTCGTCACCAGCCCCTCGAGCTCAAAAGGAGGCAAACAGGAGAAAACTATCATCAGGAAGCTGTGAGTGCTGCTGCCCACCTGACCCCCGGGGCACTGTGGGGAAGCAGGGGGGCCAACCAGCAGAAAACAAGAAAGTGGCCGGCCTTTTTCCTGCTTGCACAGGGGAGCTTGGCAGGGACCGTCCACCCTGACAAGGCGTGTTTGTGCCCGGGAGACCTTTCCTGTTCCTCCAGATTCAGAGCTGAATCGGGGTAACAGATACTGCCCCACCGGGTGGGAGCCCCCTTCACCAGGCAGATCAGCGGCAGCTCATCTGTATCTTATAGGCTTAGAGAGAAGGGTGTGGGGGGCGGTGCTCTGAGCGCTCAGCGAGCTGCCCAGGTGGGGCCAAGGAAGGACTCAAACCCAGGTCTCTGTGATTTCATCCACCACAGCCCACAGCCTCACTTAAGAAAGAGCCCATTCCAAAGGGTCAGTTTATCAGCAATAGGATGGGAAGGCTTTCATAGTCTGAGCTGGGGGGTTGTCTGGGCGTCTTACACTTTTCTCTCTTATGACCCCCAATACAGACCTTTTTACTGTTCTTGGAGCACAACACTCCATCTGCTGACTCCAGGCTGCCCTCATATGTGGGACCTCTTTCCTTCCTCCCCCTGTCTCCTCCTGGCCCTGCCTGGCTTCCTTCAAGACTCTTGCTCAATCCTGCCTTTGGCTAGAAGCCTTTCCCTTAATGCTAATGCCTTCCTCTGAGCTTGCCTTTCCCTTACACTGACTGTCTCCTCCATTAGAAAGTGAGCCCCTTGAGGGCAGGAACAGTGCTCTGACCTTTCTTTGTATGGCCAACACTTAGCACAGTACTTGGAACATAGTAGGTATTTATTTAATCAATGTTTGGTGACTGACCAGTAGGGTTAAAAAGACATGTACAGCATCTGAAACACAGTAGGTGCTTAATAAATGCTGTTGATTGATGTATACAAATAAATATGATAAATGTTGTAACATACATAAAAAGAACATAAAATGGTATGAGAGAGTCAGAAGGAGAGGGAGGAGAGAGACAAAAGAGGGGAGAGAGAGAAAAGGTAGAGAAGAGAGGGAGGAGGGGGAGAGGAGAGGAGGGAAGAGAGGAAAAGACAGATAGAGGGAAAGAGGGAAAGAGAGACAGGAGGGCTGAGAGAAGAGGGAGAAGAGAGCAGAAAAATAGAGGAGAGAGATATGGGGGAGGGGAAGAGAGAAGGAGAGAGCAAAGAAAAGAGAAAAAGAAGAGAAGAGAGAGAGGGGAGGGAAGAAGGGTGAGGGAGAGGATGGGCACACAGAGAGGCAGGCAATGTGGTGTAGTGGTTTGAGAACTGGCCTCAGAGCCGAAAGACCTGGGTTCAGTTCCTATGTCTGACATCTTCTGGCTCTGGTAATCCTGGGGAAGTCACCTGCTCTCAGTCTAGAAGCTGAGGGTGCCAACCTTTTCTGGAGCATTTTATGCCCATGAGATGCCTGGTCCTGCCCCTGACTCTAAGAGAGCAGCTCAGGGAGGGAGCCCATTCAGCTTGGCAGACAGGGTAACCACATTCAGGGTGAAGGACCTGGGGGTAAAGGCCTGGAGAAAAGTCACCTTGACCTCCCAGTGAAGGAGAGAGGCCTGGGGCTCTTCTCAGGCTGGGGAGCATTTCTGGGAAACCGAGGCAGGGCACACTTGGCTCAGTATTGGGAGGCCCTTCTGCCCAGGCCCCTGCTTTGAGCATGGCCGCCCTGACACCCACTCTTCTGTCCCAGCTTCTCTTTCAGGTCAGGGAAGCGGACCTGATCCTGAGCCCCGAGGCCTGCGCGGTTGCCGTGGCCAGCATTGAAGACCTGGAATGCCTTTATTGTGCCATGTGTAGATAATCAGATTTACTGATTTATTTTCCCCTAAAAAAATGAGAAGGACATATACAATGTTTTTCCCTCTGCTTAATTTCCCCTTGGCTCTCAGTTAAGAGAGACTAGGTGGGAAGAAAGAACACTGGATTTTGAGTCAGAGGACCTGGGTTTGAATTTTACCTCAGTGACTGTGGACAAGGCAGTTCTCTCCCCTGGACCTCAGTTTCTCCAACTGTAGGGTGAGGGACTTAGGCTAAGTGATCCCTATGGTCCCTTTCCACTTTAAAGTCCTAAAAGCCCACACCCAGAAGGGTGGTCAGAGCAGTTAAAATTGTCCCGTTGAACCAGTGGGCGGCTTAGAATGATGGAACAGGAGTCAACTGTGGAATTAGAGAACTGGATTCTGATCCCACCTTGTAGAGTCCGAGGAGCTGGGTTGAAACCCCACCCTCTGACGCTTCTTCCCTGCTTGACCTTTGGGGGGCCACTTACCCTCCTTAGACCTCAGTTTCCTCACATGTCAAATGATGGGCCTGTACTCCAGTGCCCCTGGGCCTGTTTTGTCTCTAGAGATGTGCTGATGGTTTTTGGGTGCTCTGACCAAGTCTTCAGGGGTTCCATTGGGGGACAGATTAGTGACTCGATGACCTCACCCCAGAATTGACTGTTTGCTTCTACGTTTAATAGAGAAGTGAATTAAAATCAACAGATTCTTATTAAACTCCTAGAGCGTGCAGAGGCCTATGGTAGGCATTAGGGGAAAGAAAAACTGTAGAAAAGACAAATGGGCTGTGCTCTCATGGTGCCAGCAGTGAAAACTGTCAGCTAAAAGGAGAAGAGGAAAAGTCAGTATGAAAAGTTTATATAAATGTTTTCCTATGCATTTCACCGCTTGCAACCTCATAGGACTTCAGACTGGAAGGAGCCACAAAAGTCACCTTGTCTAACCCACTGATTTTTACAGATGAGGAGACTGAAACCCAAAATGTTGAACTGACTCCCCCAAGGTTACACAGGCAGTAGGTGTTAGAGCGAGGATTTGAACCCAGTACTTTGGACTTGAGAATCTGTGCTCTTTTCCTCTTCACCACCATGGTATTGACTGCTCTAATAACTTTCTTTGTAAGGTTTTGTACTGAGACAAATAAAATGACTTTTCTACCTTCTGTAACTCATTTTAAAGGTGGCATTTGTGTTGAGTCAGAGGGTGGAAAGAGGACGAGTAAGTGAGTATGGTAGCCTGTATGTCCAGCGGCATCAGGAGGGAGGGTCGCCTCTACCTGATACCCACATCCTGTGCAGATATCTCTCATCCAGGCCTGATACGGCTCTGCCACAATTTACCTCACTTTGTTGTTCAGTCATGACCCAGACCGGTGGATTGTAATGTCCGTGGAGCTTTCTAAGCAAAGATCCTGGGGTGGTTTGCCATTTCCTCCTCCAGTGGCAAGCAGAGATTAAGTGACTTGCCCAAGGTCACCTAACTAGTAAGTGTCCGAGGCCAGGTCTTCCTGACTCCAGGCCCAGCACTACACCCACCGAGCCACCCAGCTAGCCCACCTCACCTTAGCTGTGTCCTCTTCTCTATAAAGGGTGGGAGGAATAGCATGAGTCCGGCTCAGAGATAAAAGACCACAGCTTAGGTCACACCTCTGTTCTGTAATAGCTATGGAGCCCCAGGCAAGCTGGTGAAACTCTCCAAGCCCTCAGTTTCTTCATCTCTCAAATAGGCATAACCATATTTGTGCATAACTACCTCACCAGAAAAGTTGTAAGTGCTCTGAAAGTGATATTGTAGAAATGTGACATGTTACTATTATTGATAAATCCTCACAAAGGGGGACTTTTTTTTCTTTTTTATATTTTGCTCCAGAATCCTAAGGGCATACCCAGCCAGGGCTTGTATTCCCCTCGTCCTGTCCCCATATATGTTATACAAGTCTCATTTTAATGGGCAGAGGGTATGTTTAATAGGTTTTTTTTTCTACAAAAGTCTCCCTCTGGTGATGATGCCTCACTGTGGCATGGTGATGACTTTGTGTTTGTCGGAGGCTATGCCACGTCCTGTCAAGCCTAGTGTACAGGCCTGATGGTGGACTGACTGTGTGTTTGTCCCCCTTCTGGGTGGCCTTCTCATCCTGAGCCTTCCAACGCTGGAGTGTCCCTCCACAATGCTGACTACCCACCTCTTCGATTTGTGAGTTCCCTCCAGGGTCATTATTTTGGTGATGGGGCCTGGGGATGCCGAATGGTATCCCCCTTCCTGGTTGATACCTTCTCTACCTCTTCCCCTCCCCCACCCCTTTCAGCTCTCTTGTCTATATCCTATCTTCCCCATTAAAATGGAAGCTTCCTGAAGGTAGGGGCTATCTATATTTCTAGCTGTATCTGGATCCCAGCCCTTAGCACAGAGGAGCTTACTAAATGCCTGTGGCCTGCCGAACTGTCTTGAGGACTCGCTTAGCTGAGGTCAGAGAGGGTCATCCCCTGGGCAGACCAAAGCATGGTGAATTTTTTAACTTTTGAATACCGTCCGTCTGTTGCAGAGATTCTGAACCTGGGGAGTCTGTGAGCTTGTTTTTAAAAATATTTCAATCACTGTATTTCAATAAAATTGGTTTCCTTTGAAATCCTATGAATTTTATTTTGTGAACTGAAAAACATTTTTCTGAGAGCTCCTGAGCATTCCCTCAGCCTGGGTTCTCTGCCCTGAGGCCATAGCTCAGTCCTCAGTTTGTCCCTCAAAAAGTAGGCTGGAAATCACCATACTTGTCCTAACCCCTTGCATCCATCCATAATTTTGTCCCCCAGTTCTGAGATGGCTCCTTCCGTTTATACAAATTACTCTTTGATTGATCCTAGCATGTATACAGGCCACGTTCATATTTAATTCGGACTGATTTGATTGAAGTGTTCTCTCCAGTCAATGCACCAGAGCCAACCCCATCCTGACAGATGAAAGAGTTGTCCTTGGAGAATGCCGGGAAGTAAGAATTGATATAGCAATGCAAGGAGAAACAGGAGAATAATTTATGTGAGGACAACAACATTGTAATAGAAGAAAAACAACTCTGAAAGTCTTGGGAACTCAGATCAAAGGAAGAGGACCATGAGGAAGCATCTGCACCCGTCTCCTGATGCCATTCTTAGAGGGCCATGCCATGCTTTATAGCCTTCCTCTGTTATCTGCCCTTGCTTCCATATTATATATAAAAAAAAACTATTATTATTTTTTTAAAAATCTCATGTGCTTGGTGAATTGGAATTTGCTTTCTTTTTTTTGTTTTGAGAATTTTATTCTTGCATGCTTCCTCTTCTGTCAGTGCTGACTTCCCCTATGCCAATGTAGTCCATGGGATCCTATCTATGTTTTCTCTGAATCTTCTGAAATCTGCTCTCCCCAAATTTAGATTGTGTGCCAGACTATTCTGGACTTTCCTTTCTCCTATTGCAGATGGTGATCATTTCCCCACAAGTTCCCATAATTTCTACCCAGTTCCTCCTGTTCATGAGAATCTCATTCAGCATTCTACTCCTTCCCAACCTGATTGTTCCCATTTCATTCAATTACCCTCAAGGTAATTAATTCAGTAGAGATGATCTCACCCCACAAAGGTGATTCTAGAGCATTTTGTTAATTATTTCATTAGTGGGGGCAGCTAGGTGGTGCAGTGGATAGAGCACTGGCCCTGGAGTCAGGAGGACCTGAGTTCAAATCCAATCTCAGACATATAACACTCACTAGCTGTGTGACTGGGCAAGTCACTTAACGCTGATTGCCTCACCAAAAAAAAAAAAAAATCATTTGGGTTAGGAACGACTGATTGACTGATTGACTCCAGCACCCTTCCTCCCCACCCTCTTCTTCCTCCCTATGTCCTACCTCAGGGGACACATGCATTTCCCACTAGTATACATGTAACATCCAGAAAGCTAGGGGAAATCCCTAGCATGTCAGGTAGATCCCAATGAAGATTTCCAAGAGGACACGTACATGAGGTGGACAGGTACAAGACTTATACAGAATAAGAAGGTGGGGAGGAGTTGCAATTTGAGTCATTAGAAGCTGTACCCAGACCAGTGAGTTGAATGAAGGAATAACAAAAGCATTTATTAAGTACTTATTATGTACTAAGCACTATGCTAAGCACTGAGGATACAAACATACAATCAAGACAAGCCCCTACCCTCAAGGAGTTTATATTCTAATAATATTCTAACAGTATATTCTAGTAATAGGAGATAACACATCTAAGTGGCCAAGGAAGCCTGTTTTGGTTTAGGAAGCGTGATGAATGCATCCATAGAGCAACTGGTTGACAGATCCTTTACAGAAACAATAGCAGACCTGGACAAATCCAATAAAAGCATAAGTAAGAATGAAGTTAAGGATCTTAATAGAATTTTAGAAAAGTTAGATAGACCTCTGGCCACTAGGGAACGGGAATCAACAGGAGCGTACATAGTGCTTGGTCTTGCACTGTACCTTTAGAAGATTGATCATGTGCTAGAGCAGAAAGAATTCATAAAAATGCAGAAAAGCATAAATATTAAACACATTTTTTCCTGAACACAATGCAATAAAAATTGTAATCAATAAGAGGAATTTGAAGAAGGGATTCAGCCCCAAGTGGAGACTAAATATTAGAATCTTTAAAAAAAATGTATAGGTCAAAGAACAAGTTATATCAACAATAATTTAATTAGAGAAAATGACAATTAAGACACAACATATGAAAACTCTTGGGATGCAAAGCAGTCCTTAGTAGAAAATTTTTATCTGTAAACACTTTCATCAACAGAAGCTATTCCCAAAGCAAGTAGTAGAAAATGGGGGGAGGGGAGGGGAAAGGGGAAGGTACTACGTGTGGACGGCAAGACGTCAAACCCAGATGGCTGAAAGGGATGTGTAAATGGCTTGGCTCCTAATGGCTCCTAATTTACAAAGTCATTATGTACATTCTTAAATCAACAATTAAAAATCCTCTCACAACAAATATCCATAGTTCATCAAAACAAACCCCCAAATTGGCCATAGCCAAAAACACATGACTTCATTCTACATTTTAGGTTCATCATTGCAGTAGGTGAGTGACGTGACTAACGTACAATCCTCTGGACTCTGGCTGCACTAATCAAAGTTCTCAAGTCTTCCAAAGCTGTTCTCATCTGCACATTTATTAAAGTCTTCTCATGTTCATTTGTATTTTTTTCATTTCTTATAGCTTTCATGTATCATAATCTGCTGAATTATTCCAGAGTTATTGAGAATATCATACCCCAGCTTAAAAAACTTGGACACTTTCCTGTTATCTCTAAGATAAAATACAAACATCTCAGGCTGGCGGTTAACCTCATACAATCTAGCTTCTACCTGCCTTTTCAGAATTCCTTCCCTCCCAATCACTTTTGAGCTTTTTGAACTCAATGATATCTTTCATTTCACTTTAATTTCCAAATATATCCATATATTCTGAAATAAAGGGAAAAGGGCAATTTGTCAAAACTGACGAACACATCAACCAAATCTGGGGCTACGTGATATATGCAGTGTCCCACATTGAGAGCCCCCCACTTTTGCAAGAAAGAAAAGAGGTACTCTTTCTCACCCTCTTCTGGGGCTGTTTGGTCATTAAAATCACACTGCATTCAGCTTTATTTTTTTGTTCTGTCCACTTGCATTATTGTGCATATTGTCTCCCTGGTTCTCTTCGCTAAGTATCAGTATCAGCCCTCCCTCACTTGAATCCAATTCACTTGCATGTCACGGCATCAACTTCCTGATGTCACGGTCCTCTTTTAGAATGAAGGACAAACAACATCAGTTAACATATATCTTCCAATGATTTTCTGAACTCTTCATACTCATCGTTTCACATAGCGCAATAATATTACCAATCACTGACTTTTATTTATGCTTTTTTTTTTTTAAACATTAGAACCATTTCCCAGTATACCTTGCCCCACACTGCATCTTCCCTGGTAACAAAGAAAAAAAAAAATTGAACAAAATCCAGTCAACAAAGCAACCACCACTGGTAGTATATGCAACATCCTACCCTCAAGTCACTCCTCTACCAAAAGACTTTTTAAAATTGTCCATTGGGGGTTGGAAGTGGGGAGGAGGTATCAATGAGAGGAAAAATGCTCATTTTAAAAAATGTGCATTATGACT